CATTAAAGTGTTTAAGAGCAAAGATGTCATTTTGAGGAGTATGGTGTGCCTGACCCAAGCTATGGTATTTTCACTTGCCTCACATGCATGGGAAAGCTGGACAACAAATAATGAAGACTGAAGAATTGATGCCTTTGAATTACGATACTGGCAAAGAATATTGAATATACCATGGACTTCCAGAAGAACAGACACATCTGTCAGGGAAGAAACAGGAAGTGTGCTCCTTAGAAAAAAAGATGGTGAGACTTCGTCTCATGTATTTTGGACATATTATCAGGAGAGACCATTCCTTGGAGAAAGGACATTATGTTTGGTAAAGTAGGGAGTCGGCAAAGAATAGGAAGACCCTCAAAGAGATGGATTGACACGATGGCTGCAATAATGAGCTCAGACATAGCAATGATCATGAGGGTGGCACAGGACCAGGCAATGTTTTGTTCTGTCGTACATAAGATCACTATGAGTTGGAACCAACATGACAGCACCTAACAGCAACACCATTTGACTAAAAGAACACAGATTATAACTGATTTGAACTCAATTACATTATCTGGGGCCACTGTTCAGTCACTTTCCCAGGAAGTAGACTTTGAGCTGGAGATTAGAGTCAGGAGGTGAATTAGAAAGTGCTGATAGATTCACCACCTGTGGGAGATAATGGGGAGCAGGATCAGGCAGAGGGAAAAGAACTGCAATATTGTCCCAACAAATGCCTCAGGTATCCCACGAGGGGCTCTGGAGCTAGAATTGCCCTTCAGAAATGTTCTTAACACTGAGACAAGGAGGTGGCCCTTTTTACCCACCCCAACCCAACCCAGGGTCAGTCACTGGGTGGCAACTCTCCCTGTGAAATGTCAAGACTTTGAGCAAGATATATATCCACCAGAGGATGCAATTGCCAGGAAAAAGTTCAACTTCCAGCTAAGGGTCCTGATTGCCTTGGAATCTACTACAGGAATGCACTTATATTTGTATTTCTAGATTTTATCAAGTGTTTGACAGGAGGCAAATAATGCAACATTAAGTCATCCAACATTTGGTTTTCTCCTGTATGTCAAAAATTTTGCTAAACTTTGGGGATAAAATATAAACTAGGAGGTGACTTGTCATTTCAGAGTCCATAGCATTTTGGACATAGAGGCAGACTGAAGACAATGCAGATTTGCTCTCAGAGAAGGAAATACTGGAAGGGCCTGGGGAAAGTTCATTAATGCTGAGTAGGTGGAGGCAAGAATACTGAAGAGACAAGGGGAAGCTCTTAATATATGCAGCTGTAAACTGACTATTCCAATGTAACCTCTCTCCCCAGCTTTATCCTTGCCAGAAAAGCTCATCGATTTGCTAAACTCCAAAAAGAAGCAAGGTAAGAATTTATACCTGAAAATACATAAAAGTTTAGCTTGACATTATGTTTATCACACTAACAACAGTATAACAGCATTATGAAAAACCCAATAATTCACTAATATTCTTAAAAACCCAACAAAGTAAACTTTTCATGTTTTACTATGGCCCCCTTGACACAGTCCTTGTCCATATGCATGTTGTCGTTGTTGTTATGTGCCGTCAGGTTGGACCCGACTCACAGCGACCCCTCCTTGGGTTTCCGAGACAGTATCACTATGGAAGTAGATTGCCCAACCATCCTTCTCAGGAGTGGCTGGTGGGTTTGAACTGCCAGCCTTCTGATTAGCAGTCAAGTGCCTTAGGCATTATGCTACCAGAGGTCCTCCATACACACATAGTAATTTAATTTTACATATTTGTGTTCATTTTACAGTGGTTGAGAGGTCAGGTTTCCCTGAAAGATGGATGAAGAGAAGTCATAGAATATGTTAGCTGTGAAGGGGTGGGAAGGTGAATGGGACTACATCCACGACTATATATAGGTTTGACAGAGGCTATCTCTACTTATATAGTTGTATGTGCTGCAAATATATCTATGATTGTAGCAGAGCATACAGGGGACAAAGTTATGAAAACATCTTAGTCATAACCAAATGCCTAAGGGAATGACTGGCTGGGTATGGAGGCTCAGGACCATAGTCTCCAAGGATAGTAAGGTCAATCGGCATGATATAGTCCACAAAAACAATGTTCTGCATCCTACTTTGGTGAGTAGTGACCAGGGTCTTAAAAGCTTGTGAGCAGTTATCTAAGGTATGACTATTGGTCTCTCCTTGTCCGGAGCAAAGGAGAGTGAAGAAAAT